AATAAAAATAGTATAAACTGATTAGGAAATGGATTCTCTGCCGCACGGCAGAGTCCTAGGCGCCTATCCAACGGCAAAGAAGTGAGCAGTTTGGGATCTGCAAAATCGGATCCAACGGCCTAAATTCGCCAGGCACCCTACCTGGCAGCCAAAACCAGGCAGAGGATCCAAATCCAACTGATTAGTAGTGACAGGCAAGAGAAAGATTTTTTAACCATATTAGGAAAATTCGATTGACTTGCTAAATATTTTCGCCAACTTGATGATATAGACTAAGCAAGTTTTGAAGCACAGGGGTTTGAAAGTGGCAATGCGGGTATACAAGCTAGAGGGAAACAAAGCAAACGAGGTAGAAAGCAAGAATTGAAGTGATTTAATTGAATTCAAAACTTTATATAAATTTATGGAGAGATAGATAGGCGATACATAAGTAATGCACCTCTTATTTCGTATATTTAAACATTTATACTATTGAATTTGAATAATCTTTTACTCTCAAATAACAAATGATAATACAAAGTTTGAAATGACTTTTTTGCTTATAAATGTACGTTGCACATATATAATTTGAGAATTACATCATGTGCAATGCATAAGCGAGAATACTAGATTTTTCACCCGTGCGTGACACTGGATGCATTATGCCATTATCTAATTATTAAATTTTGTAAATGTTAATATAAGAACAACTATAAATATGTATGTTCATAAAATTTGCTTTTGAATGTAGTTTACAAGGAAAACTTTAAATGTAGTTACAAGGAAGTATATAATTGATGTCTCAAGAGTAGTGTCCCCGCCTGGAGTGAAGTTTATTACTCCCTCCGTAACTTAAAAATCTTCCCACTTTCCTTTTTCGTCCGTAACACAAAAATCTTCCCATTTCTAAATCTTCTCATCATACCCTCAATAATTCTTAAAATAATACACTATTACAACTACTTTTTTTGGATTTATCCTACATTCCACCACATTATTCCACTATTTTCCCATCATACCCTCAATAATTCATATCATCTTTCACTATTCTTAATCTACCTACTTTTGAAATGGGAAGATTCTAAAGTTACGGAGGGAGTAGTTATTATTACATGTGTGATAATGACAAAAAACTAACCAAGAAGACTTCAAATGTACTCCAAAAGGAAATGCATACTAATTTGTATTTTTTATCTTCATTGACTTTTGTCTTTAATGACTTTTTTTATCTTTATTCCAACATTTGTATAGATTCGCAATCTAGTTTTTTACAAAATGCGGAGTAATTGTTTTACGGGTTAAACGGCACAGTGGATTATCAGGCCTTACCGGGCGGGTATGGATATTTGATTAGTATGGACTATGGATTCTAACAACCCACTTTATACTTCAATTCCGAGCACTTCGCTGCTTCAATTCGCTTCTCTGGTAAAACCCAATTTCATCGATTGACGAACGGACGATTCTCGTTCCAATGGTTGACAGAATCAGTGAACTGCCAGCAGATTTAAAGGACCGAATTTTGGAGTTCCTGGACACCAAATCTGCTGCCCGAACAGCTCTCCTCTCAACTCAATGGAAGGATGTGTGGTATAGGCATGGTCGGCTTAAGTTTTATTGCAATGTCTACGAACGCTTGGCATCTTTTGGAAACATGATAACTGAAGTTCTCTCCCTCCGTTCAGGACCCGTGAGGGAATTTTCGCTTACTATTTGCAATCAGGAGGATCCAGCCCTTCCCCAGTCTGATATTGATTCGTGGTGCCTATTTCTATCCAAAAATGGGATTGAAGAACTTGACCTAGATTTTTCTGAGTTTCAGGATTATGATCTGCCAGTTTGTATAGTCTCCTGCCCGACCATTAAGGTACTCAATCTTCGGAATTTCTTCGTCCGGTTCCCTGTTAATGCTCCACCTCGCAGTATATTTCCCCGCCTCACATCTGCATTGTTCATCGATACTCATTTCGAGCATAGTGCTGCTGGAATTATGTCTTGTAGTATACCTAATCTGGTTGACCTGGCCTTCTCCTATTGTATTGGGGTCCAAAAGTTTGTGATCAATGCTCCAAAACTGGAAAGCTTGATGGTTATTGGCTCCAGAAATGAATGGTCAGAATGGAGATGGTTTCTTCTTCATCTTCCGATAATCAAGACTCTTTGGTTGTCTCCAGAATTATTTGTGGTAAGTTCTTTCCTTTCATATAATGTTACAACTTCAGTTTGTATTTTTGTGTTAGGGTTATGATCCAAGTGTCTGTTTGTTTTTTCAAGGATCATCATGGTGCTGCAATAAATATTCAAGAGATGTTACCAATAGCAATGAATGTGAAAGTAATTAAGCTGTATGAGTTGAATTTTGCTTCCGCAAAGCACTTTGATTTCGCTGTTCAGCTGATTAAAAAATGTCCAAACCTATGCGAACTGGAAATTCTAGCAGAACAGGTTGTAATGTCCAGCATTTACAAACCTTTAAATATTTAGCAAGTATGAGGCTGCCTTCTATACACACATCATGATAATGCATTCTTTCCCTTGTGCTGTAGATTTTCTCCGGGCATGAGAATGATGAGATTAAAGCTGCTGCAAGGAACTTGGAAGATCCAGGGTGTGGCCTTATTGATCATGAACTGGCCGTGCTTAAAACAGTGAAGTTGGCATCATTTCTTGGACTCAGATTGGAAGTACAGTTTGTCAAGGCAATCCTGTCAAATTCTCCCGCACTTGAGACACTTGTTATTCAGGAATCACCAAATGATGATATAGATGACTCTATGGCTTTAGGAATCGCAACGGAAATGCTCCACTTCCCTCGTGCTTCTCCAAAAGCACAAGTTGTCATCTTGGAGTATAGCTATCCCATGGTGGTTGTTTCACCTCCATGGTTTTAGCTTTTCTGTCTTTCATTTTCAAATGGATTAATGCAACATGTGGGGGCTTTTTTTCGGTAATAATCATGTTACTGAGTTGTAAAAAAGTTCGTGTTTTCTATCCAAATGACAATTAAACAATTATTTTTTTGTTTTTATTAACTGAAGTAAATGGAAGAAATGAGATGCTAAGCATTTTTATGCAGTATAAATTTTTGTGAGGTCTCAACGCTTTATAGATACCCATCCCTTATTTGACTGGGTATTTTGGAAGGGATGCCATGAGTATGGTGATATTTCTTTTATGACTCCCTTTTTCTTACAACAAATTTCACATTTTTTGTCTATCCTAAATTAAATTCTTCTTCCTCGTAAGGTAAAGTTGTTGTCATTTAATTTGTCTCTTTTTCACCTAATAATAATGCTTGGTGTACACGCCTCCGGCTTAGAAGCCTGCTCTTTTTGTGTGCACAAATAAAAATATTTTCGGAATCACGTATTGTTTTCTTTACAAAAACGACAAACAATTGTGTGTGCTCAGACAAAAGGAACAAGCGTGTCACCCGGCGTGTACACTAAGCGTTATTGAACTTACAATGACACCTTTTTCATTGTACGTTAAGTAACAATGACTTAAATAGGTCTTGGAGATAACAACCTATTTTGTTGAGAGTGGTTGGCTACATGGCTAAACAAGTTGATAGAATTTGCTTAAATTATGCCTTAACTAGTCAGAAGCCAGGAGAGGAGTCCCCGCCCCCGTGAATCCCGCTATCTTCGTTATTGAAGAAATTGACATGCATCTGTGACTCTGTAGTTGCTGTTTATGAAATTTATGACCTCAAATGGAAATGGGATACAAGAAAACCTTGGATGGACTTTAGCCGTATGAAATTAGTGCTGGACTCGGGCCGGTTCGGGCCCGGTTCGGGCCTGGGCCCGGCCGGGCCTCGGGCCAGGAAAGGGAGGCCCGAGCCCGAACCGCCGGTGGCCGGTTCCGGTCCCGGTTCCGGGCCAAACCGGGCCGGGCCGGGCCGGGCCGGGCCGAACCGGCCCAATTAATTTTTTTTTTTTGTTCTCCTATTTAATCCCCTACCCCTCCCCCTCAACCCCAAACCATCCCAAACCACCTCAAATGGCCCAAAATACCTAATCCAACCTAAAACTTAAAAAAATTTCAAAAAAAAAATAAAAAAAAAATCCGGCCCGGACCGGGCCCGAACCGGCCGGGCCGGTTCACCAAAACCTGGGCCCGGGCCCGAACCGCCCAGTAGCCGGGCCGGGCCGAACCGAACCGGCGGACCCACCGGGCCCCGGGCCGGGCCGGGCCAAACAGTAACCGGGCCGGGCCGGGCCGCCCGGCCCGAGTCCAGCACTATATGAAATATATCCCTCCATGATATTTCTTCATTATCTGTTTTTCGGAATAGCCTATCTACGAAGGATTGATGTGTGTTTTCTCGCAATTAAAATGATGTAGTAAAATGGTGTAAAGTACGAGTATCGTCTCCACAGGGACGGACAAAAGGGAAATAAAGATTAACTAAACTTTAGCGATTAAAAAGAAATAAATAAAATAAAAAATGCAATTGTGCGAGATTGGTTGATTGATTGAAATAAAACTAATGCTAATGAGCGAATAAAAAGATTTGGTTTTCCTTAATTAACGACGAAGGGAACAGGAATTGATTCCGGGGTTAACCAGATTTCTGGCAGAACAGGCCTAATCACATTAATTTAATTTAATTGAGTCTAGCTAATCATTACTAAGTTCTTACCGCTCTCGCGGCGTAGAGTACAATAATTTAGGGGACCAGGCTGATCTCTCATGCGACAAGATCCTAAATTATTGCCAAAACGAGCGAGCTTACGGCCCCTTAATCGCTACAATCTCTTAGCGAACGATTAAGTGTGTGTGAATGTGTCCTAGAACAAATTAGATCTCTCTTAATTTATTCTACATGCAATTGTAATTCTAGCTGCAGTCTAGGTTACAAGAGATATCAATTAAATTATTCAAACACAAATTAAATGGCATTCATGCAATTAAACCGACAAGAATCTAGCCATCAATCATGATTAACCCCTTCATCAACCCCAAATCCCTAATTAAACTACTCACGCCTCATAATTGACGAATCAAAAGAATTGGGATGAATAGAAATAATTGTCATTAATTAAAGAATTGAACTTACAAAGAATCCCAGGTTCTTGGATTAAACAACGTAAAAAACGCAGATAAACTCGTCCCTAGGCCTCTCTCCAAAGTTCGTAACCCCCAAAACGGGGTTATGGAGGCCTTATTTATAGAAAACAACGAATTTCGGTCGAATTAGGATCAATCGCGGCCAGGCACGGTGCCAGCCACGACCGTGCCTGCGACCGTGCCTACGGAAGGATTCCGTTTTTTCGCGTCCAGGCACGGCGTGCCTAGCTGCCAGGCACGACCGTGCCTGGCCTCCAGTAACTCGTAGTTTCGTTTTTCTTCAGGCACGGCGTGCCTAAGTCCAGGCACGACCGTGCCTGACCTTATCCTCTACTTTTCCTTCGTTTTCTTGCTCCGAACGCTACCGGATGCCTACGAGGTTGATCCAAATGCTCTTTCTTCATCAGAATTTCGTCGTGAATCTCCCGGTGACCTCCAAATATTCCAAATCTTTCTCGAATGCCTTCAAATCCTTCCTGAATATCTCTCAAGCGCCGATTGCCGGACTCTAACTTCTTCAAATCAACTCCAAATGCAATGAAACTCGATCCAACGCCTGTTAAACACAACTTGAGCCAAAATTGAGACTTGCAACGCCTTAAAGCCAGGAGAATCATCAAAATCCGACTCGGACACGCATCAAATGCGTGTCTAAATACGGACTTATCAAGGATCATCTGTTTCGTTTGAAGCTTTATAGATTATTCGTTTTGCTATATAGATTATTCGTTTTGCTATGCTCAACCAGATATGGCATACCTGTCCTATTCGATTAAACAGTTACACAAATTTGGTTTGGTGTAAGAAATGGAGAGAAAGAAATTGAGAGGAGCGTGAGTTGACTTGTGAATGAGTGATAATGATGAGTATCATGAGCGAAAAGAAGATACTACCTCCGTGTCCCATTTTATGTGTCTCGTCTGGTTTTGATACAATTTTTAATAAAGTGGTTGAAAATGTAAAAGTTGTAATTCAGATTTGAATATAATAAAGTGAAATGTTGAGAACCACATATTTCTTTCAAAAAGGTAAATGTGACACTTATTTTGGGACAATCCAAAAAGGAAAGTAGGAAAGGTAAAATGGGATGAAGGGAGTATTTAAGAAATATTTTTACTTTATCTAGAAATGTTATGGAGAAGCTCAGATGGTGCGTAGAGACATCAAAGATGGAGTAAGGATCTAGCGTGAGTGGTGTCAAAATAATATTACAACGGAAATTGTCTTAAATAAAAGTACAAATAACATGATTTCAAAATTAGGCGTATCATATATTCCCTCTATTACCTTCATGTTTGGAAAATAGTGTCAATTATGGTATCAATATTGCCTTATTAATGTCTCATAATACTAAAAATATGGTGATATAGTTAGATAGACTGTCCTTCTATCCGGTTAAATAGTACTCCCTCCGTCTCATTTTGGTTGTTCTACTTTCCTTTTTGGGTTGTTCCAAAATGAATGTCTTGTTTCCCTTTTTGGCAAGAAATATGCATGTGATCTTAATCATTTTACTTTATTCTACTCAAATCTCAACCACAACTTTTATTTTTCAACCACTTTATTAATAACTGTGTTAAATTGAAAGTGAACAACCATTATGGGACGAATGTAGTAACATTCACAAATTTGGTGTAAAAAATGGAGAGAAAGATATTGAGATGAGCGTGAGTTGACTTGTGAATGAGTGAAAATGATGAGTATCATGAGCGAAATGAAGATATTTAAGAAATATTTTTACTTTATCTAGAAATGTTATGTAGAATCTCAAATTATGTGCAAAGACATCAAAGATGGAGTGAGGATCTAGAATGAGTGGTGTCAAAAAAAATTACAATAGAAATTGTCTCAAATATTACTTTATCTTAAATAAATACAAATAACATGATTTCAAAATTAGGAGTATCATATATTCCCTCTGTTGGGGTATGTTACCCCGGCCTACTACTGTTTAGAGGCCCAATACACCGCCCCAATACGGGGCCCAGACAGCGAGGATCATTTGGGCCAACCGGCCCGTTGGGGCCTACTCGGTCCATTCCGGCCCAACAAGGCCCATTGGCCCATGGAGAAAACCCTTACCCCCCTCCCCCATCTATAAATAGGAAGCCAACCTTCCTGATTAAAGGATCCTGGTTTTTTTGCTCTCCTCCTCCCTGCTTCTTCTTCCTTAGATTAGAATAGTTCAACCTCCATTAATGGAGTTCAAGATACTTGTACTATGTAAATGGTGAGGAGAGCAGATTAATGAGAAAGAGCGGGCTTGGACGTTAGCCTAAAAAGTACCGTGGTTTTCTCCCTTTCCGGATTTCCACGTAAAAATAGCTAGTTCATACACCTTTTATATTTATATTCACTTTTATACCGAATCCACCGTCCTTAATATCCGAAGTTAATGTTGGGCTTTCGGATCTACGGACTAAACCTCAACACCCTCTATTACTTTCATGTTTGGGAAATAGTGTCAATTATGGTATCAATATTGCCTTATTAATGTCTCCTAATGCTAAAAATATGGTTATGTGGTTTCAAAATAGTAGTAACTTACTCTTGTTCTAGCAAAAAAATATAGTACTTCATATTTTGAATTTTAGATTATTCTGCTCATATTTCACGAAATATCTCAATACTACAAACACAACTTTATATAAAAAAATATAACAAATATATGATTAGAAAAGGTAATTGATAAAATGGTTTTTTAATGAGGCACCTAAAAATGTGATTTAAATGTAGAGTCGTCATAAAATGTTACTACTATAAAATTTTAATGTAGGCACTATAAAATGTAGGCATTATATAGTTACTACGAGTTTGTATTCACCCCTAGAAGAAAAGCAGGGAAAGTGGGAGTAAAGACTGAGTATTAAACATGCAGGGAAAGTGGGAGTAAAGACTGAGTATTAAACATGCATTATTTTGAATTCACCCCAATTTATTCACGTGAACGCCTTTGCTAATGCAGATTATTTTTATGAACACTCTGAGTAAGGATTATTTTGTAGAATCTCTACAAGTACAATTTATTTTTATGAACACCATTGTTGGAAATTGGAATTGCTTCCCTGAGAATCTGAGATGAATGAGAAGATAAAAAGACCATCTCCATTAGATCGATATCCCCTTCTTTGATCCACTAGACCATTAACAATTATTGTCATGATAAGGGTAATAAGGTAATCGTCTTCTACTCATCATCGCAAACTAATTGATGGACGCTATCAGTGTGTTCGCCGGGCCTCCAATACTGCTTCTCAAGCATGCATGAGATATATATCGATCTTCCGACGGATCATTGCTAACTTGTGTAGGTGGAAGTGGAATCGTCACGACGATGGTAACAAGAAAAGGCTACTCTCTAACACATCTACATATTGAAAAAACTTAGTCAGAATCCATGGCAAGGTTGACGCCATCCTCATGACGACAAAATAGTTGGATCAAGTACGAGATCAGGGATGATAACCATTGGTGCCAAAACGGGTGATAGAGGTTGGGCCCCCAGATGGGCCTTTGACCTGTTGGGACGGCGGGTACAGTCATCTGATGTAGTTCGGGGTGACGGTGGATTTGATTTTGTTGTCACCGTTGTTGAAAGAGTCATTAGTAACAGAATAATTGTAATCATTTCTCTGACGCTTCTTTTTCTTGTTTTTATTAGAACTAGTATATATTATACCCGTGCGATGCACGGGTATAAGTTTTCTATGTTATTATACAAATAAAAATGTTATTATAATAATATAATATATAAATTAAAGTAAACTCAAATGCCTTTTTTAAAACATCCATAAATTCGTGTTGACAGACAACTTCAATTTATTTGTACTCTACATTTAGCCTGTTGAATTATTTTGAACAACTAATGCATATTCATTTAGAAATTTTAGATTGGAGTCAATTTATAAAACCTTGTGAGAAGTTAGTTAAATAAATTATTAAAAAACATTGCGATATTTAAACATACATAAGGCGCACTGTTTTTCAATAATTTATTTAACAGATTTCCCGATTGAATTTTAAGTTGACATTTTTTTTACCTGATCTTTTGAGCAGCGTTTAAATAAATTACTCCCACAAAATTTTATTAAAAAAAATTGACCAGATCATTTTGTCAAGTGTGTCTGACCAAATCATTTCCCTATACTCTAAATCTCTAATACTCCGTAAAAGATACCGTACCCCTCAATCCTCATATCCGTAGACTGAGCCACAACGGCAGAGCTACACACGAAACACAACTAGATGACTTTCTACCTTCCTCACAAAAGCCTAGAATAAAAAATTAAAATTTTCTTTTAACAATGCCTAAAGAATTTTTTTGTATGGCTTATGATACCAAGTAGTTTTAGGAACAAAAACATTTACTTGTGTAATGAATTTTATTTTTACTTGAAGCTTTTGTAATACATTTCTATAATATATGGAGTATATAATTAGGGGCCTATTTTTTGTCTTTTGTCCAGGGCCTATAAATTGTCAGGACAGGCTCTGGTCAAAATTGCTAACATAATCCGATAACCGCTAACCGTTGTTTACCAAACAAGGCCTAAGTAAGGATGTTTTCTTTTGGACTGTTTTCAGTCCTAGACCAGACCAGACCAGACTTAAACAGACCAGACCAGACTTAAACAGACCAGACCAGACCAGACTTAAACAGACCAGACCAGACTTCCGTAGTTATAAAATACACAGAGACCAGACGTTTACCAGACCAGACCAGACCAGACCAGACTTAAACAGACCAGACCAGACTTAAACAGACCAGACCAGACCAGACCAGACCAGCAAATTTCAATCCAAAAGAAAACATCCTAACCAATCTATTTACACATGAAATAGCGCATCTTGAAACCTGAAATAAACGTAGGAGCCAAAAGATTGTATCCAGTGTGTCGGCCACAGTCGGTGTGTGCAAATTAAATAATAGGGAGTAGAATTATATGTTAAAGAGAATTTGAACTCACTTAATGCTTGATCGCTAGGAATATTGAGGACATTGTTATAATTGTAAAAATCTTCCCTTCAATGTTACTTCCATTACTTCACTTAAAATTGTAGAATTGCAGTTCCATTACTTCCATACGTGCTATAAGAACTTTCAAGATTGGTTTGCAAAAAAAAAAAGAACTTTCAGGATTGTTATTGGAAGTTGACACATGTGGAACAAACCAATGCTCGGTGATTTTTCAATTATTCACTCTCAAAAAGAAATAATCTCAATTTTAAAGGGTAGTATTTTTCATAAGATAGGTAAGATAGTGATGGGGCATGTGATTTTAGAGAAACGGTGTCTGGGCGGGAACCGTTATTCTTTCACGGTTCCCTTTTTATATTGATATAGATATAGATTTTGTCTTGTCTTATTGGTATTCCAGTGATTCTTGATAGAATTTTCTATTCTTCCGGTAATTCTTATTGCTATCTCTGCCCATTTGTTCCCTAGCTCTTCATGGGCTTCAAACCAGTGCCATCTCTTCATCATCACTCCAACCATCCTTCTATGTTATTAATCTTATTATTATTATAATAAAATAATTATAAGAATATAAGATTACTAAAATTTAATTGTAACAATAAGAAGATTTTCGAACATATGTCAATGTGCACCATTGTTGCACGGAAACGCGTGATGCATAAAAGAGTTTAGAGAGTTTTTGAAGTTTTCAAAAACGGAAACATATTTATATTTAATGCTAGTTTCTTAAATTATTCTTAGTTATGTTTAATTATGAACTTATGATAAATGATTTACTTTCAATGGTAACTATATAAAATTTTAGCATAATGCCGAAACGAGTGATAGAGGTTGGGCACCTGGATGGGCCGTTAACCTGTTGTGACGGTGGGTACAATTTTCTGATGTAGTCCTGTATAGCAGTGAATTTGATTTTGTTGTCACCGTTGCTGAATGAGTCAAAAATGGTGGATGATGGGTGGCCCCGCTGTCAAAAATCCATGGAGATGAAGGAGCCGGACCAAGAAGTGCTAATTCATCGGCAGCGTTTTTGATAAAATGCATGTATTCGGTAATAGTCTTGGAACCTTTGGAGTATTTTTTGAGTTGAGACTTGAGTTGTTTGATATGACCTCGGGAGGGTTGAGCGTATACAGAAGAAAGAGTATTCCATGCATCCTTGGTAGTGTTGGCACGTGTGATGAGAGAAACAACAGAAGATGTGAGGGTGCCAATAAGAGCGCCAAAAAGGAGTTTATCCTGACGAATCCAAGAGACATGAGCCGGGTTGGGATGAATGACACCATTGGTGTTGATAGTGGCAGGGGGACACGGATGAGAACCATCCAGGAAACCATCGAGACCATAACCGGTAAGAATGGATTGTATCTGTAGTTTCCAAGAGATGTAATTTGTGGGAGAAAGTTTGATGACATTCCCAAGATTAACAGAAATGAGAGGTTTGTGAGGTTCCGAGCTGTTTGGAACGTGAACATCATTAGAGATGTGGCCGGAAGTAGTGTCGGTGGTAGGGGATGGTGGCGGTGAAGCCATGGCTGGAGGCTCGAAGGAGAAAAGAAAAAAAAATTAATTGATTTGGATCAAAGGCTGTGATACCATGTAGAGTTTGAGAGAAGGAATGATGTATATTCACACTTAACATTTGAAGTATACAAGAGTATATATAGGAGTACAAATAAAGAGATAAGAGCTATCTAACTAACTATGAGATAATTACATAAATGTTTATTAAGTACAAATATTAATATTATTATGATTTATCTCCAATAGTTATAAATGGAATAACTGTAATTGTCTTTCTGACTCCACGTATTCGGTGATTCTTGATAGAATGTTTGGTCCTTCGGGTAATTCTCTTCGCTATCGCTGGCCATTTGTTCCCTAGCTCTTCATGGGCTTCAACGAGTGCCCCTCTTCCTTTTCACTCCAACCGTCCTATGTTATTATTATTATAAAATAAGTATAATAATAGTACGAGATTACTCAACTTTAATTGAAACCCCATAACAAGATGTCAAGATCTTCTAAAAAATGTTAATGTGCACCATTATTGCACGGAAATGCGGGATCCATAAAAAAACTTAGCACAGTAAATAAATAATGCTAGTTTCTTAAATTATTCTTAGTTATAGTTAATTATGAACTTATGATAAATGTATGACGTCCGATAGTAACTAAATAAAAGTTTAAAATAATGTCGAAACGAGTGATTGAGGTTGGGCCCTTGATGGGATGTTGACCTGTTGCAATGGTAGGTACAGTCTTAGAGTTATGTCTTGTCTTATTGGTATTCCAATAATCATTGATTGGATTTTCTGTCCTTTGGGTAATTTTCTTCGCTATTTTGCTCATTTGTTCCCTAGCTCTTCATGGGCTTTAACCATTGTCCTCTCCTTCTCTCGACTCCAACCGTTCTTCTATGTTATTATTATTATAAAATAGTTATAACATTATGGGATTACTAAAACTTAATTGAAACCATAACTACATCTTCTAAAATATGTCAATGTGCACCATTGTTGCACAAAAACGGAACCATATTTTTTCCGGCCGTTTTCAAGTTTCATAGATGTGCACAATCAGCACACATGATACCTAACAATCGGTAAATGAATATTTATATTTAATGCTATTTTCTTAAAACTTTTCTTCCTAGAACAAAGTTGTTTGGACTGAAGTTTACTGGTCTGGTCTGTTTAAATCTGGTCTAAACTGGTCAGGTCAGTTAAATGTCAGGTCTCTGTGTATTTCATAACTGTTCAAGTCTGATCGGGTCTGATCTGATCTGATCTATTTAAGCTTGGTCTGGTATGGTTAAGTCTTGGATTCAAAACAATCCAAAAGAAAACTTCCCAAAAAATAGTATTCCCTCAGTCCCGATAGAAGGTTCCCGTTACGGTTTACGATGTTTGACTGACGATAAAACAACTTAATCCCAGTTCACACTCTGATTATTTTTAGTGAATAAAATTTACATATTCAGAAACTACTTTAAAACCACTACAAAGCCAGATAAAAAATGTAAATTTGATAAAAAATTGATATGTAAAGCAAAAGATTAAAAATGATTTTAGTTGACCATATGAATAGTGGAAACCTTTTAATGGGATGGAGGAAGTACTTTTTACGGCGACTAAATAAAATTTTAAAATAATGCGTATTTTTGTTTGACAATTATTGGATGCTTTTCTAAAGTTTAAACTAGAAATCAAAGACCTTTATTGTGCGTCATCACACAAGGGACACCCTAATAAATTTAATTAAGTAACAAAGTGCGAGTGCTAAGGTTGTTTTCTTGGGATTAGACCAAACTTAAACAGATTAGACTTAAACATATTAGACCGGAAAATTATAAAATATACCAGGTGAATGACTGATTGAACGTGTTGTTTCCAGAATAAGAAATTCTTAGAATCAAGCTTTAGGTGAAGTGGATGAGCAAAGGCTACTGAAAGATGAAATTTCCAGTAGAGGAAGTAGATGAAGTTGTCTTATTGTCAAACGACATAGCCAGAAATTTATGAACACAAGCTCATGATACCATATTTTAAAGAGAATATTACCCGAAATAGAACTAAAAAGATTTGAAAATTCCAAAATAGGACTGACATGTTTATTCCCAAAATATGACTAATTAATGCCATGTTTTGGCAGTACCAGACTTCAAACATGGCAGTATTTTGCAAACTTGACAGTAATTACTCCTATTCTGGGAATAAAAAAATGTGAGTCCTATTTTGGAATTTTCAAACTGTTTTAATCCTATTTCGGAAACTTTCCCTATTATAAACTTTAGTAGGGATATATTATTGAAGAGAATGAAATGATTCATACGATAGTATTATGCAAGAGAAGAGTACAAGAGTATTTATTCACACATAGCTATAACGTAACCGAATATAGTTGTATCTATAATAACAACGGTTCTAACAAACTCTACCATCTCACTTTTACATTTATATTCCTAACAAAGAAAGTCTAATAAATGTTAAAATTTCAATAAATTCAGAAGGAAAAAAATTGTGAAAATTTTCAGAATGTCAAAGCCAATATTTGTGTTTTTTCAGATTTATTTTCTTAAAAGTTGTTTTAATTATTTCTTTTCTTAAATTATGCTATTTTTATTTTTATATTATTATTACATCATTTTTCAATCCGGAGTATGAATTTTTATAAGATTTTTCAATACCCCTAATTTTATTTATAACCTGCTATAGTAGCTCAAAATGGACTCATTGATTGTATTTAAAAAGTAAGCGTACTTATTCCGTAGTTTTGGCACGGAGATTTGGCACGGATATGCCAAAATTCGTAGGGTATTTGGCACGGATTTGGCACAGATGCGTTAAATCCGTGCCAAATTCCGTGCCAAAGTCGTTTTGTCACCAGCTATTTGGCACGGCGTTGTGCCAAAAATTAGTTTCAGTCCGTGTCAAACTCGCCCAATCCGTGCCAAGTTCGTGCCTATTTCGTAGTGTTATATGATGGTTTTTTAGTACAAGGGTTTAAGTAATAGATTGTGTATAGTAGAATTGTATATTTCACCATTTTCCCTTTTATCGGTGAAGTAGAACTTATTGATAAAAATATGATTATAATTACCGGGAGCATATCATTATGCTTACTTAAGTGTAAAAATGAAAATTTTAAAGTTACGCAATAAAATATAAAAAATCAATATCCTTCATTCTTTAATAGTTCCAACAGTTTAACTTTGTCTATTCTTAATGCATAATTTTGACTATAATTATATTTGATTACGAATCACTAAACATTATATAAAATTAGTATTTTGAAAATTCACATTGATAAAAATTGAGATAATTACCCTAGGTTTGACTAAAACTCTATCACTTTCTCAATCTACTTTCTCAATCTATGGCCTAAGTAGTTTTCTTCCCAAAATTATATTTAAATTACTAATATTTTAATAATTTCGTAATAAATAAATAAATAAATAAATAAATAAAGATTTTTTATGGACTAATATACCCTTTAGGCTATCTCTATAAAACACTAACCTCCTCCTCCTTTTCTCCAACCCTAGCCTCCAACTGCCTTCCCACGCACAGCCGCCAACCGTCTACCGCCGCCACCGTCTAGACCCCTGCCGCCGCCGTCCAGTCGCTTGCTGCTTGCCGCCTCTTTACGCCGCTGGCTCGATCAGGTTGTTCTCTGTGATCTCTGTCTCGTTCTCTGTTGACTAGGTCTTCGCCCAGAGTTCCAATGGTGAGGAAGCCGCGAATTATACATGTCGGAGAGAGCTTTGAAGAAGGAGTCTCGGTGGTCGTAGTACTGATACTTCGTCCGTGCGGCTATTGACGAGCACTTTGTCGTAGTGCGTCAAAATAAATCGATATCCATATGTGAAGTAGTATAGGTGAAGTAGAGTTCGTATCCACATGGAAAGGTCTCTTTTTAATAAAACTAGTAAATAAAAGGGGGTTTGGGATTGTTGGAATTTAATTAATTTAAACACTAAAATGAACAACTTATATGTGATTTAATTCAAGAATAAAAAGGACTTGGCCTTGCTACTTTCCACTTGTTGATATACTTTAGTCGATCATTGTTATGTCTATAACTTATCCCATCTCGAATACTCAATCGATGAGTATCTCCATTTCATCAAGGGTAGTTATTAACAACGACCGTTCATTAACAACCCTTACTATTAATCAAATATAGAACAACGTCGTATACCGATTTAATAGTAGCATTTAATCTTTTAACTCCTTGATGAAATCAATTGAGATTGATAACCTAAACACAACGGTTTCGGTTTAACCAACAAAATTGATCCATCTTAAGTTTATAAACCACAACCGTGCATTAATAAACTGAAATTACTTACTTATGAAACCATCAACGATTAACCATCGGTTCGTTGATCGTTTCTAGTAATAATTAATGTCGGAACGTTAACTAATCGTCACTTAGCAACATTCCAACATTAATATAGAATGAGATTAAGGAAAGAATTAATAATCAAGAGAAGAAGTTAAGAAAATATCTCACAACTTTAATAATCAACAAGTTTCAAGAGCAAAACCAAGAAATGAAAGTTTAGATCCTCATTTGGAGACTAAACAAGCTAGAAAAATATAAGAAATAACTATTCTAAACTGAGCTTATAAGTATGGAAGAAGGAATGGTTATTTGTGAAGGAAAAGTGTGCTATTTATAGGTGTTTTTCAACACCTTTGGCCGGGTATTCCGACCGGATTAGGTACCTACCCGACCGGGTCCGGTCAAAATCAGATATCCTCCACGTTCTGGTGATCTTCGGCACGTCGTTTTGTCCCGGGTCAAGTCAGACCCGGTCGGGTCTTGAAGCTTCGTGTGATTTTTCGAATTTTACATTCGACCCGACCGGGTCAAGTAGAGGACCCGACCGGGTCCAGTGATTTCATTTGATGCTTCGGTTGTTAAATCAGACCCGACCGGGTGAAGTCTTCTACCCGGTCGGGTATTTGCTCCTGGACAGTTAAAATTCCTTATTCTTCACTTCAAAGTCCTCCTCTTCAACACCATAATTCTTAATTCTACTTTACAACTTACAAATGAAGATTAAAATACAATTACAACTAAAATTACACAAATGTTTACAAACTAAATAAAACGGTAAACAACACACACAAATCAAACATAAAAACATACATTTATGC